ACTCCATCTTCTAAGAAACTGAATTCTTAGTCCTCTATTTTGGTTGCAAAAGCAGAGCCTGACAGTGAAGTTAAGCAGCAAAGCCAAGGCTGCAGGTACCTGACAACAAAGTAGTAGTTCAGGCACAAACCAGAGTGAGGGATCCTGTGTTAGGTGTGCCAGCAGGGACAGCCATCGTGAGAAACAGCGCAGGGCGTGCGGCTGAAAATAGAATTTGTTCACCACTCCTTCATCCAGGGCAAACAGTGTAGTTGGGGAGAGACCAAATCCCTTTTTGGATTTTTGTCCTGTGTTTATATGCTGAATCTTCCACACTAAGCATTTCTAGTCTGTTTCTTATCAATGCTGCTTTCAGAGGAAAGGAGGAAACTGGGTGCAAGGGTATATAGGAGCACCTATAAGAAGAGAGCTGTTTCCTCAACACATCCTCTAAGTTGGGGGTCAATGGCTGTGGTCTGTTGCACATTCTGGCTGTGATAATGATGTGGGACCTGCAGTGCTACAAAGTGATGGGCTGCCATTAGATTATCTTCTCCCTCCTTGTGCCCATCTGTTCTGGGAACCCTCAGCTATCTGAGAATGTTTTAAAACACCCCAGTTCTGGTACTGCAACTTGGCAAGCACAGACATTTTGCTAAGTTAAAAAAGAAATGTTTTTTTCAAGCTGTTGCACCTTGGTAAAGAAATAGTGGATGTTATATGTTTGTCAGGTGGATATTAATGAGCAAGATGTGATGCTGTAAAATAGCTCCTGGAAATGACAGAGATTCTGCACTTCTCCAAGTCAGTGGAAGTTTAGATGATGAGTTTTGACAGGCACTGGATTAGGCCTAAAACATTCCCAGCTTTTTGTCCATTGACAATTTTTTTGACAGTTTTACAACCAGTAGAGACTTCCTACCCCAATACAAATGCAACAATACTGTAAAGACTTCCCCCAGGGAGACGTCTTTGCTTTTAGCTGGGTACCTCGTTACACCCCAAGGGAAATCAAACAGTGTAGGGAAAAAGAACTTGATATCTGTAATGTTGCTTAGCTTTTTCCTTGCTCTACTGGATATTTGTATTTTGTTATCTCTGGAGACAATCTACTATTTGGGAAAAGAATGAAAACAACCCTCCTAAAATAGAGTTTTACAGTTTAATGATCCCTGCACTGAAATATTACATTATACACTTAGACTGCATACAAGATGGAGAGGGAGGGTGGAACTATCATGAGGTCAGAGCTCCATGACCCCATGTTCTTTGCCAAATCAATCATCTCAGTCTTCTTTTCATAAGGTGATGGTGACACCTCACAGAGCTGTTATGATAATTTGTTTATATAACAAAAGTACATGACTCGAGGGATAAAGCTTTCTGTACCTGTATAATTTCCAGCATTCCCAGGTTGCCTTTTGGTGTGGGATTACAGAACATCTGCTCTATTTAGTCCTCCTAGTATTACTGTTAATGTTTTGGCAAAGGCACCTGAAGCGTAGCATAGATGCATAAGTACATAATATCAAAAGTCATGAAGAGTGTATTCAAAAGATAAACTAATGTAATGTTTAGCTTTATGTGGCTTAACTTGCACAAAAATGGGAAGATTCAGAATTGAGTGTTTCTTAGCTACTTTAGGACCTCTTCCAGGTTTACCTGTAGTAAAAAGGGAGATGGGATCTATAACTGCTTATTAGGCCAAAGGAACTGCCAGGCTGCAGCGAGACCCAGAAGCTGGGCTACCCTGAGCACTTTCCACGTGGCAGATAAGAGGTGTAAGGAAAAGGAGCAGTGTGTGAACAGTCAGCAGAAATGCTGGGAGCAGGGGAGGGGCAAGCTGGAACCAGCAGTTTCAAGTGGAGAGCCTCAAGGGATCATTATGTCCATCTGTGCCGACCTGAAGATGAAAATCCCACACGTTTGCAGTGTCTACGTGGGCTTTGCTGTTCCTCCCACCCAGTCCCTAGCTCCTACTCATGTATCTGTTTTCCAGGGTCAAAGTTGTTTCTGAGGCAAGCTGAAGGCCAGTTTCCTTGCATGTGAGTGGAGCAGTGGAACAGACTTGTTTGTGTTCCCTCCTTCACCTTCTGCTCCCAAATGGTGATTCCCTACCAGGCAAAGAGCAGGGATGGTATCTGCAAGGACAAGGCTGCACTGCATTTCCACTGTGCCCCACCTTGCACCTGTGTGCAGAGCAATGGATGGCTCCCACAGAACACAGCTCCTGCTGCAATGCACTGGCTGGGAAGATGTTTGAGTTGCACAGTTTGACCCAGGACCAAGATGAAGGATGTTTGGGTATTATTGCCCTGGGTAACCTTGAATTAGCCACCTCAATGTGCACCTCTCAGTGCTCAGGGGAGTGGGACGGCACTGATGGCTCTGCAGCATCCTGAGACATCATTTCACATCTCCCTCAGCCAATGGCCCTAAAATGGGGACCAGGATATGGGCCCACAGAGGGCAAGTTGTGACAGCAGTGATAGCAGTGCTGTGCTGGTATTGCTGGGAATGGCAGGGAGCACTCCCCAGCCTTCTATGGTCAGAGGAGCAAACTCCTGAACAACCCAGTGATTCAGACCTTGATGGCAGCAGCACCCTACATGGGGTAAGAAGAGAACCCCAGGGAGGAAGCAGGAGCTTAAAGGACTACAGTAGATGAGTGTATTTAAATCCTTTTAACGAGGACCAAAAAGAATTGGCTTGGCACAGATAAGTTTGAAAATTAAGTATACACCAAGAACTTGCAAGTTTCAGTCCCTCCAAACAAATGTGAAAGGCTTACAAAACCTAAAAATCCAGCTTTGACACAACTGCTGAAAATGTCTTTTAAAGAGAAGCCTCTATGAGAGCTACAAAACAAAGAGAAAGGCAGCCCAGAGTGGTATCCTTGTTACCAGCATCAGCAGATGAATGAGAGAGGCAGGAGAGGGTGGTCAGCTCTTTGAAGGGAATGAAATCTTTCACTTTCTGACCACACAGATTAGACAGGAGAAGAGTTGGCTGTTTCAGATATCTTGTAGCATTGAGGAGCAACCACCAAAGGGAAACTGTCTGCCTTGTGGGATAATCACTGGGCAAGCAAGAGGATGCAGCAGATAAAGGAAGATGATGCTTACCCAGAGAGGCTGAACCACAAAGAACAAAGATTAGTACTGGGGATGGCCTCACCTATAGTGAAAATGAAATGGTAGCAAGGGAGAAAAGCAGTGCAAAAACCTCAGGAAATCTGGGTTCCTCAAGTGTATTCTTGCAGCAGTGTGCACTGCCTTAATTTCTTACTGAAATTTTGCTGTTGTGATCAAGTTCTGATTTTGTGGTTTATAGAAGAGGCATCTGCAGCTCAAGTTCTGCAATATTTACATAGGCAAAATTCCCAGTGTTTTAAGGGGATTTTTCCACGGGTATGGGCTCTTAAGTCTTACTCTTGACTGGGTGAGGACTTGGAGTCTGCACAATTACCATGCCGTAAGTATTAATAGATCCTTCCTAATAGGAAAGTTATTTGAATTTAAGATTGCAGCTTAGTTTCTCTAAGCTCCACATAATCTATTTACTTAGAGTACAGCTTTCATTCTGCACTTACTAATCTCCAGCTGTAAAGATTCAAAATGCCACACAACATACAACTTCTGCATATTGATGGAAATGGCTCTGGAAGTCATGCCATGCTGCATGGAATGCATAAATGTATGTTTAGTGACATTGCAAAGCCAGGATTTGGTCCTGGGAGGCTTCAGACCACTCCCAACTCTGCCTCATAATGGAGTCCCGTGAGTTGGATCCCCTTTTCTGAATGACAAATTTGTGTTTCTTGCCTTCCTTCAGGTTGGTGGTTTCAGATGAGTGGGTGGGGCTGTGAGGATGCTCCACAAAACAACCTTGCTCCATTCAGCTCAGTGCCAAAAAGGAAAGAGTCCTACCCAACTAAGTCACAGGTGTGTGCTGTCAATTCTCAGCCTCTACCAGCTCCTGAGCTCCATCAAACCTCACCCCAGAGCCAAATTTGTTTTTTACTGGTCACCTTGTAGAAAACTAAGGAGAAAAAACTCCAAAGCTCTGATAGGTCTTCCTGTGACAGTGAGCTGAACAGAAGCAAGGCAGCTCTCACCAGTGCCTGATGGGGCACAGGGGATGCTGAGGCTGAGAGTGGTGGGATGTGAGATGTTTGTGAACTGGGGATGCCCCAGGGGCACTCTGCAGCCCAGATAAACCAGACCTGTTTCCCAACACCGTGCTGAACAGAAGCCTGAAAGCTGCACCCCTCTTTCCCAGACACCAGCAGGACTAGCTCCACGTAAGCCTCCTCCCCTCCCCTCTGACTCAGCCCTAATGCTATGCTCAGCTTTTCACCTCCCCTTCCTCAGGCAACTCTGTTCACTTTTCCTCACTCCCTTTTTGCTCATCAGCTGCTCAGTATTGCTCCACACACCTAAATGGCAGCACGGGATCCCCCTGGCACTCCTGGGGAATGTGTCCACACCCACCTGAGTTCAGGACTCAGCCTACCCTTCCTTCTCCCACCATGATTTCTGGAGCATTATCCCAAGCTCACCTGTGTGTATTTCCCTCTGTGAAGACTGAAAGCTTTGGGGTAGATGTGTTCATTGTAGGAAGGTGGTCAGGGCTCAGGGTGCTCTGCAAGCCCTGCAGCTCAGGGAGATAGGGGTGAGTTATCTCTTGGTAAGTATCCGAGATTTTAATTAAACCTGGTTTATAGGTGTGGGCACAATGCCATGCAGGGAGGTTATGTGCCATTACACCTTGCCCTAAGGATGTGTTGACTTGGTCTCCACAATCCTGGAGATTCCTGCACTGTCGAGGCTCTGCCTCCCAGCCCTGCAACCCTGGCCAGCAGTAGCAGGGTTGAAGATGCACGGCTTTGCAGGTGATGCTTTATTTACTCTGACTTTTACATTCATCATACAAAATTAATAATTGACTCCTAATAGTTGAGGTTTGTAGCACTTCACCAGTTGTTTTGAAGAGTCAGGAGGTAACATTTTGCCCAGAAGTGGATTCTGAATTGATTTTTATTTTAAAAATTTCCCTTTCTGCAGCAAATACCAACATTTCTGTGCCTTGTCCCAAAGTTGAGCAAAGAATGTAAAGAACTTTGACATTTTCTGTGGAAGTGCAAACTGAACTTCCAAAATTTTTTTGCCTTGCTTATGGGTTTTAAAGGTTTAAAAACCTTTTAAACCAAGGCTGAGGGTTTTGATTTGAGGAAGGGGTAGAAGACAACACTTAAGACATGCTTTAGAACTACATATAATTAAATTTTTAGAGACCTTTCAAACTGTAAAACAAAACAAAATAAACTCAGTTTTGGATATAATCTTCCTTTTCCCTCAGGGTGCCTGAAAAGTGCACAACACAAATCTCATCCTGAACAAAAGTTGCTTGAATTGCCTCTTATCTGAGAAATGCATAAGAAAACAACTGCTATGGAGAAGTGCTACACAGGGGATTCTTCAACTGCTGGTCCACTTCTTCAAGCTGCCTTGGGAAAAAAAAAAAAAGGGAAAACGTTAATTACGTAAGAAAACCCATCTCTCCTCCCAGTGAGTGACAAAGGGACTCATCCCCACCAGGTCCTGGCAGGGCAGGCAGCTGCCGGTGCCGCTCTGCCTGGGCTACTTTGAGATTTTAAAGCCTTTTGGATGGAGCCGGCGGGGAGCGGGCGCCGATCCCGGGTGTACGAAGCCGTGGCTCGGACTCCCCCCGCCCGCTCCAGCGCCGGTTTTCTTGACCAAAACCTGCGACTTCGGCTCTCGCCGGCAACGAAAAAAGAAAGTGTCATTGGAAGGGGGGGAGCAGAGGAGGGCGGGCTTGATCTATGGAGCCCGCCCCTTTTTAAACAGAGAGTCCCGGCAGCTCTCGTCCACCAGCCCGACGGGGGGAGAGGCGGAAAGCGAGGGAGAGCAGGCAGGCGGGCGGGCGGGCGGCTCCCCCGTCCCGGCCCGTCGGTCCCGACCCCGGCCCGTCCGCCCCCGCGCACCATGCGCGGCCCCCGGCGCCCCGCGCGCCGCCGGCCCGCCCGCCCCTAACGCCGCCCGGCTCCTGCGCCTTCCCGCGGCAGCGCTCCGGGGGCCGGGAGGGGGGCCGCAAGAAAGGAAAAGAGAGGGGGGAAAAAAAATTAAAAGAGGGAAAGGGAGGAAAAAGGAGGAGAAGAAGCGGAGGCGGGGAAAGCTGCTCCTCCGAGGACAGCGCGCAGCACCATGCAGCTGGCGCCGCTGGCGCTGGCACTCACCACGCTCTTCATCGACGGCTGGAGGACGGCAGCGAGGAGGCAGAAGCTGCACCCCAGGCAAGGTAAGGGGGTGCTCGGGGAGGGGCAAGGGGAGTGCTGCGCTGCCGCCCCCCGCCCCGGGGCCGCAGGGCTCGGCCACTTCACTCAGCGTCTGTCCCCTCGCAGCCCAGCTGCTGGAGAAGCTCAGCGAGTACGAGATCGTGACTCCTACCCGAGTGAATGAGTTCGGTGAGCCCTTCCCCACCGATGTCCACTTCAGGCGGCGCCGGCGGAGCACCAGTGCTGCCCCCGACGCCTGGACGGCGGCCGCCGCCGGCTCCCCGAAGGCACACTACAGGCTGTCCGCCTTCGGGCAGCAGTTCCTCTTCAACCTGACGGCCAGCTCGGCCTTCATCGCCCCGCTCTTCACCGTCAGCCTCCTGGGAGAGCCCGCCGCAGACCAACGGCGCCTCTACGCCGAGGCGGCCGACGCCGATGTGAAGCACTGCTTCTACCGGGGGCACGTCAACGCCCGCCCTCGGCTCACCGCCGTTATCAGTCTCTGCTCCGGGATGGTGAGACCCCCGCCCCGCTGAGGGCCAGGGGCGGAAGCGCGGAGGAGGAGGAGAAGGAGGAGCGGGGCGAGGGAGGGTGGGCGGGCAGAGCCATGGCGCCCGCCCCTTCCCCTGACGGCGGCGGGCGGCTCCGGCCCACCCCGGCCGGGGGCTGCTCCCACGCCGCTCTTCATCCCTCGGGTTCCGGGGTGCGCCGCTCCTGCTGCGCGGATTTTGGGGGGAAAATGCCACCCATCGACACCCGGAGGGGCGGTCTGTGGGCCAGACCCGGGCACGGACCCTGCCTGCCCCTGGGGTTGCCGGGGTGCCGGTGAGCGGTGGCTGCGGGCTTACCACCAGCGCTGGCCCCGGAGCCACCCAGCACCCGGGACATGTCCCGGTCCCTGGTACCCTAGCTGGGTGCCCTTCGGTGCAGGGATGTTGACACCGGGATGTGCAGAAGCTCCTAAAAGCGCTGACTCTTGTGTCTGTCCTGATGCCTTTCAGTCCCACGGGGTGCCAATCCCAGGGGCTCCCCGGAGGTTTCTGCTGGCTTCATTCAGTCCCGGGTTCCTCTGGGTGCACATGTGTTCACCTAGGCTTGGGCACATGTCTATGTGGCTTCCCTCCCAGGTACTGACCATGGATACCAGTATGAGATGGCTGCAGAATGTTTTGTCTTGGATATTTTTTTATTTACCTACCAAATATGTGCATTTGTAGTTGTATGCAACTAGGAGCATTGATGTCTCCTCAGAAGCAGGGATTTCACTAGCTGGACACCTTCCTCTGGTCTTATATGTGGGTTAAAAGCCTGTCTTAGGGAAATGTGCTGTGTGAAACCAGCACATGATGGAGTTGCACTGGGACCTCCAGCACACAGCAGCACCATCACCCTTTGGGCAGGACTGGCTTGGTGAATGTCACCGGCATAAGGACAGGGTCTGGCAGACATATGCCTCTCTCATGCTCCCTGCCTGTGGGTTGGTAATTAGCCCTCTGTAAGCACCAGGGGGATGGCTGTGCAGCCCAGGGTGGGTGCAAGCAGTGTGACCAAAGCTGGAGCTCCAGCCACTGCCTTCACAGGGGTTACCACAGAACTAGGCACACCTCCCTCATTAACTGCTTGCTTTGTGGGGTAGTGCTGCTAGGTGGCTTGTCATCGCACACAGCTGACCTCCTGTTCCTCTCTCTGGACCCTCTCAGCTAGGCACATTCAAGTCTGATGATGGGGACTATTTTGTAGAGCCACTCCTATCGCTTGAGGAGCAGGAGTATGAAGAAGAGCACAATAAACCACATCTTGTCTACCGGCACCGGACACCTCCTACCAACTCTTCAGGGGACTGGCAGACTTGCAATACTCCAGGTACTCATTTTCTTACTGCCTTGGATGACTTGATACTTGGATGTGCTATTCGCAGTTAAAAGGCAGTAGGTTTGTGGGGAAAAAAGAGATGTGGAGTTGAGGGACCCCTCTAGAGATGGTGCTGTGAGTGCTAGGACTGGGCTCATGGTGGTAACGTTGTCCTGGAGAGATGTGGTGCACCCGGAGGTGCTTTCTAGGAATTGCTTATGAGGAAGTTGCGGTCAGAAAAAAGTTTCCCTTTGATTCCTGAGGTAAAGCTGGCAAGAGAGCTTTTCATCTGTCTTGCCTTAAGTATCCTGTGAGCCCTTAAACTTGTTTTATCCTACATGTAATTCCCAACCATCCTAATCTGCTAAACTCTCTGTCTGATACTCTGTCCTTTAAATGGCATCTGTCTTAGTCTTACTTTGCTCCTGGTCTTCTTTTCCCAAATCTGGCTGGGAGTTGCCACGTCTTCTTTCTAGTGGAAATGAGGAGGTCCTAACACCAACCCTGACAGTCCTTAGTAATCACTTTTCCATGGCTCATTTTCAAAGGCTTTTTTTTTTCCTCATGGCCCTTCCTCCACCAGCACCATCTCCCTGACCTCCTCACTCCCTCTTTCTAGTCCTTGCACATATGAAAGAGCACAGACCTTTTTCTCCCTGCCTTGATGAGCAATAACCTTGCTCCTACTGTCCCTATTATCTACGGTGGCCTCCTGCTGCTCTCTGCTTCCCTGACTTCCTGATGTTCACAACTAATCCTCCCCTTTGGCAGCAAATACCTCAGTTTTCTCTGATGAAGCTTATTCCTTCAGTCTCCTGTTTCACCTGCTGTTTTGCCCTTGTCCTTTGGCCTGCAGCTAGATCTACAGGAACTTTAGAACCTAAACAGAGTAGACCTTGACTGAGTTCCCTTGTGGGCTGCAAGCTGCTCATATGCTGCAAAGTAGGTGGAGTTGCTCAGGAAGTAAAGGTACCACTGGAGAAGTATGGTGCCCAAATTAGGCTGCAATTAGCACACGTTGCTTGTCTGGCACCCATGACTGTGGATCGTGGCTGTGTTGTTGAGCTGTCAGTCTGTTCAGCTTGCACTGATCATGCTGAGTCCAAAGATGCTCTGATACTCTGTGACCAGCCAGAGCAACATGTGCTTTTTCTGGAAGACATGTGAATCCATTTCCACATGCAAACCTAAGTGCCAGGGGTACAGTGGCACCTCTCACAAGGCTGTCATTGTTTGTTCTTCCAAGGGTTGCTGCTGGAATATGCCATTCTGGTTTCTCTCTTCCAGCTGTTTCTGCTCCCTTCTATGAGATCAGATGCAGGAGACTCAGAACAGTTGGAAAGAAACACGGAATCTGGCACATTGCATCAGTAACCCTTGGAGGAACGGAGCAGCAGATCACAAGACTCATTGAATCAAAGGTAGCTGGGAGGGCTCTGAATTTTGCTTGTGAACTTGACTCTGTGCTGCTGTAAGTGACTGCTGTATTTCACCCCACTGTATCATAGTTCCCATTTAGAATATTATTCTTCTGTATTGTAATAAAGAAGAATAATACTCCATCTGTGATTTTACCAATGTGCTGTATATCTCTTCCTTCTTTGTTCCAATATGCTTTGCTTCTTGCTCGTCTTTGTTTTCTTGGTCTTCTCAGTTGCTTCACGTAGTGGAGGGAGTTCTCATCTCTCAAACACAAGCTTAAGTGTTCCAGATAGGCATGAGAGTCTTGTTTTCCTGTCCTCTTTCCCTCCATCTCTCCCTCTTTACCATCTCTTCTTTTTGTCATCGTCCAAACTTTTGAAAGGGAATGATGCTATGGCCATATGTGTATTGTGAACAAGTCTTGGTTATTTCATTTAAGGAGCAAGTTCAGAGCAGCTTGGGCGATGATGAACCTTAGCATCTTACCTGAGGTTACATCTGGTGAGAGAAGGTGTCTCACATGTATTTGCATCAGAGGTGAACGTGCAAAATCTAGCAGCGCTCACTGTTTTAGACAAGGTGTATCTCTCACTCCTGCCAGAGAAGAATGGTTTTGTGAGAGTTTGGGAGTTAGTCATAATTGTAGGGTGTTGTGTGAACCAGTCTTTTGTCAGAAGAATGTGTGAAACGGTGCATTTGCTTTGCAGGCTTCTGGCAGGGGTGGAAATTTGCTTGAAGAGGAAATCCATGGGAGGGAAATCTAAGGTACCCCCCTTGAAGTGAGCAAGGGACCCTATGTTGCCAGGCAGTGGTGCTATTAAGAATGACTTTCTGATAATCATCTTCCTGGAAATGATTAATAGTCAACATACTGGTGTGCCCTTGCCATAATGATGTAATTTTAAACTTCTTGAGGTACTCAGGAAAGTTTCCCTTGTGAATTGATTAACAGATTGAGTAAAAGCTTTCATTTGCAGCAGTCTCCCTGGTCGTACTTTTAGTTTTCAGCGTCCTGAGGTCAACTTAGAAAACCAGGCATTTGCTTTTGTTAAGTTTTAATTAGCAGTTTCTGATAACAGTTTTAGGTCCTCTGACATAAAAATACTCTACAGGTGTTCTGGAAAAAGATCTTTTTCCTCTGAATGCTGATGGATATCAAATGGAAGCTGTGCTCTGCAGATGAACTTTCATAGCACAGCACTGGGGTCTCTGGCAATGCATTTCAGCCGTCTGGCATACAGCTCAGCTGCTGCAAGAAAAACTTTGGATGGAGTTTTCCTTGGGGTAACAGGTTAATGTAGTTTCAGTCATAGGAAATGGTGCATTTTCCTCTCCTGCTTTTCTTGTAGTTAGTGTCGTGAATCAGTTTGTCATCTGGCCGGCGATCTGGCAGAATAATTAGTTGTGTTTTACTGAATAGCCCTGACGGGATGAGGGCTTGGCCAGGCAGACAGCATGATGTCACTGAGGTGCAGCACCACTACCACCCATCGCTTCAGGATAGCAAGCTCTTCCGACCCATTTATTAAATATCCGCTTTTTTGAGGTGGAGGAGGAAGAGAAAAGAAATTGCACTCCTAAAAAAAGAAAAGAGGAAGTGGCTCATTGCAAGGCTGGACAGCGCCGCTTTCCTGCACCCCATGGAGGAACAATCTGACTCCAGTGATAAAGGCACGGAGCTGCATCCTGCATCCGTGTGCCAGCCATCTTCATGAGGCAGGCAGCACCTCCCCAGGCCCCCATCCAGTGGGACCTTCTGCCAGGAGCAGACCTGTGAGCCCTTTCCATGTGAAACCGTCAAGGTTTGGTCTTGCAGAGAGATGTCCAGCTCCAGATGCCAATGGGATACTGCCTTTGGTCATCACTTAAATAAACCACTTCAGGCACCTCTTGCTCTGGGTCTTACATCCATTTCTGCTGTTTCTCCTTTCTATCATATTTCCCATACTTTTTGTCAGTGATGTATGTGTGTATGTATTTCTATGTATATTTCAGTTGTTGAGTTCTCTGGAGCTCTTCTCTTCCAGTTTTGTTGGGGTCTGTGATAGCTTTAGCCTTCTACTGAACCCTAGCAATCATTCTGCCTGTTGGCCACCCCTTGTTCTGAGATAGATGTGGCCTCCACCTGCCTGGTTGCACTGAGCCACAATTCCCCTGTATCCGTGAGTGTAATTGCAAGTATTGTGCCCTTTTGTCACTCCACTTCTGTTGCC